TCCATCCGTGACATGCCTCTGGGAGGCTGGCTACGGCTGGGACTGTCTACCCTGGGGGGTGCGCTGGCAGGGTCCTGGGCCCTCCCGTGCGAACTCCGCGCTAACTCACGCGCCGGCAGAGAAGCGCGCCTGTTTGCGCAGCTTGTTCGCGTGGCTCCCTGGGGGACTGGGCAAAGTAGGGGCCTGGGCAGGGCTTGACCCGGCCCGGCTCCACTCAGCCGCCTCCTCCCACACACACACTAAGGGGTTAGCCCCCTCTCTCCACGGGCCCCGCTTACCTCCAGCTGTGCTGGGGGTCAGCGGGGGGCTCCGCGGCTGCTGGGGGTTTCTGGGGGGCTTCGGGGGGGCGGGGCGCAGCGGGGTTTCACCCATGAGTGCGCTCCCGCGTCTAACTGGGGCTTTTTCCCTGTCGGCGGGCCCTTTTAAACTGCGCACATGCGCAGTGGGCCCGCCGTCGAGGAAGCTGCTCTTGGGCAAAAGAGGGCCCTGCCCAGGATTTGGGGGACCCTGCCCTACTGGAGGGGGACAGGTGAGTACCCCCACCACCTCTCTCTCTCCCTGGGGATCTGGGCGGGCTTGACCCAACCCGGCTCCACTCAGCCGCCTCCTCCCACACACACACTAAGGGGTTATCGTATCAGACTTAACTGATTTGGCTCAAACCTGTTTATGCAATGTCTGTCCCAGACCCTTTCCTGGTTTAAAACTTAAACCAGAGTCACCCTGCATCCTGGCATGCTCTGTGGGCTGGGCTCTCTGCTCCAGCCCAGCAGGTAGCCCCACCTCTCCACTTCCCAGCTGGAGCAGGGAAAGGCAGGGATAGGCAGGGTCAAGGGTCTGGCCAGAGAGGAGTTTCATTCATCCCTCCCTGTCCTACCAGCAGGGACCTGAGCTGGCTCTTCCTGGCGCCCTCCCTTCATTGCTGCACCTGCGGGTCAGCATGACCCCTGAGGGGACAGGGAGAGGGTTTTTTCTCCCTTCTATCCCCACTGCCCCCAGGAGACCACAGCTGGGTCTGCCCACCCCAACTACTGCCAACCAGGAGAATAAGCCCCCTCCTGTCCCCTCCGCCAGACACCAGAGGGAGGGGGAATAACCCTGGTCCCTGCCCCCTCCCCCCCACACCCTAAAGGGCCGTGCCAGCTGGTGTCTGGCCCTGCCAAGTGGGTGGGCTTCCCAGGCCAACTTGGAGGTGCCGGCAAACCCGGAAACTGGCAGCTGCCACCACAGTGCCCCCTGCCTTGTGCATCACCCAGGGCTGCAGCCTAACAAGCAGCTGCAGGCTGGCCAGGGCAGGGGGCTGTTCTGCCTCCCTCATCTGCAGCTACTGCTGCCACTGGCACACTTCCTACCCCACCACCCAGAGCAGCTTCTGCCCCATGTGTGGAGCTCTGGCTTCAGTTCCCGGATGCCATGGAAGGCGGGAGGTGCCCAGGTGGAAGGCTTCAGTCCAGGGGCTGCAGCCAGAGCTCCACGTGTGGGGCGCAAGCTGCAGGGCTTAAGTTTTGCCCCCTGCCACCTCCTGGCGTGGCTCAGGAGTGGCAGGAATGGGAGGGGGAGTCACTGCAGCAGGCTAGGGAAAGCTGACTTGACCAGGCAGGACTTTCTCCCCTCACCTCCAACTGCGGTTCCTCCCACACTGCATGGTGCTGCTTGTGGCTAGGGGAGCTCCCTTCAGCCCAGTGGCTTCAAACTGGGCTGCCTTCAGCTGGGCTGAAACCACCAGGCTAAAGGGAGTTCCCCAGCCCCAAACAGCGCTGTACAGTGCAGCAGAAGCCACAGCTGGAGGCACGGGGAGAAAGCCCAGCCAGGCCAAGCCGGCTTCCCCATACCTGCTGTGGTGAGTCCCGCTCCCACTCCTGCTGCTCCTGAGCCACTGGGGGGAAGAGTGGGGGAGCTTTAGCCTCAGAGCCTGTGCCCTGTGCATGGAGCTCTGGCTTCAGGCCCTGGATTGAAGCTTTCCACCCAGGCACCTTCCCCCTTCCAAGGCGTCCTGGAGCTGGACCCAGAGCTCTATGCGTGAAGCAGGAGTTTCCCACCCCTCACCCAAAGCAGTGCAGCAGTGGCAGTGGCAGCTGCAGGGGGTCAGAACAGCCCCCTGCCCTGGCCAGCCCACAGCTACTTGTTAGGTTGCAGCCCCAGGTGTTACACAGGGTAGGGGGCGTGGTGGTGGCAGCTGCCGGACTTGGAGCCTGCCGGCACCTGAGCTGACCTGAAAAAGCCTGCTCACCAGTCAGCCAGACGCCAGCCAGCAGAGCCCCTTGGGGGATGGGGGCAGGAACTGGAGTTATTCCCCCTCCCTCTAGTGAAAGGGACAGGAGGGGGCTTATTCTGTCACTCAGCAGTGGTTGGGGTAAGCAGACCTGGCTGTGGTCCCACAGGGACAGTGGGGGTAGAGGGGAGAATAAGCTCCCTCCCTACCTCTTCAGTGGCCATGCTGGCCCGTGGCTGCAGCAACAAGAGTGGGGGGGGCGCCTGACAGACCCAGCTCAGGTTCCTGCCAGTGGGACAGGAAGAGGGGAATGAAATGCCTCTCCGGCCAGTTAGTGGGGACTGGCCACACGCCCCCAGCACAGCTCCCCTGCAGCTGAGGGTACGCTCTAGCGCCCCTGGCTTCTAACCTGAGCAACTGCAGGCATGTGCCTACATAGCTGTGCGATTACAAACCGGCTCAGCCTAGCTAGCGTAGACTAATTTGCAAAGATTGAATCAATTCAAGCTCTGTCTTTCTGAATGTCTGTCCCTAGTCCCTGTGTCTGGGAAGTTTGGGGAAGCATATAGAGCTCTAATGACAATGGGTAAGCCACTCCTGGCCAGGAGGACATGACCAACTAAAAAGCATATGAAATCTATACCCCCGCAGTTCCTGACTCTTTGATTGGCAATGGCTGAAAAGCAGAGCTAAGGGTACTTATTCTACTTTACAGGGAGGAGCACTGTAGAACAGGGGCTCACAAACTATGGTCTGCAGGTGGACACAGCTCACAACAAGGCACAGAGGACCGGTGGTATGGGCTGCTGTTCATACACTCTGCAGTGCTCCCTGCTGCTGTAGAGCCTGCTGCTCTTCCCCATCTTCACTTACCCCTGCTGCAAAGGGATTGGGAATCCACAGTGAGAGTTAACACAGGCAGCTGGCTGCTTCAGGGAGTGGAGACTTGTAACACATGGCTGGGACTGGATCATAAAAGGCAGCCTTAACTGGCAAAAAATTGCCAATCCCTGGTCCAGAGAGAGCCCAAGGACTACCTTTATCAGCTAAAAGCTCATCTACACTAGAAATATAGCTGCATCAGCAAAGCTCATTAATGCAGAGGCAGCATATGTTGTCAGATGGTGGTTTTCTGCTGGAACTCTTCTATGAAACGGTGTCTACAGCAGAGATTTTAGTTGGTATAACAAGATCAGCTCAAAAGTATCACTTTTCATACTCCTAGCTGAAGTCACTATGCAGGCAGAACTTAATAGTGTTGACCTGACTAATAACGTGTTAAAATGCAATATGCTCTGTCACCCTAAAATGTAAGATGCGGTAGTTAAAGCTTACTGATAACATGTTTTAAAAATAAACTTTTTATGCTAGTGTTTCTTTTCTAGATTTTTTTTTTTAACCCACAGTGGTAATCTGTGTATACTCAAATTTCAGCAACACACACATGCAGATGAGGTGACTATGCAAAAGTCACATCTTATTTTTAACCCCGGCCAGAAACATGAATCATCCCACATACAAAAACTGGGACAAGCATATTTAGTAGGCACCAATTAAGGGCCCAACCCTGTAAATCCTTACTTAAGCAAGTGATACTCATTCACATGTGAAGTCTGATGTACTTCAATGGGACTAATGGTACACATAGAGATTGCTCATAAGTGAAGCTTTGTTCAATGCATATATTACTTACCTCATCCATCAAATGAATTATGCCTCAATTCTTGTAATGCTGAGACAGATTGATGTACTCAAAGGTAAAGGGTAGTTTAATACTGTCATTTTAGGCAGAAAAAGTTCATAAACTGAGACAACGTAGGTCAGGTACATAAGAAGGTTTCAGGTTAGTATAGGCAGTTAGACAAGGTTCTTTGGGTACATGTGACTTCTTTTATTATAGCAACTAAGTAGTTTGAAAAAATGTTCTTTGCAAACTTTCCAGTACAAATGTTCTTAGCCCTTGAATTTCAAAGAAGAGCCTTTGTTTCTTGTAATGAAACCAGATTGTTGGAAACCCCCAACTCATTTTTAGCTGCAATACCACAAACAGGCATCTCTACAGCATCATTACCCCCAAGATTGGATACTGTCTGCGTACAGGTTGTAAATGCTCATAAGCCTTGACTACAATAATTACAACAGCTTGTACAGGAAAAGCCCTACAGCTGATTCGGTAGACCATTCAACAGGTAAAGCCCAGATCTGTTGCTCCACTTAGGGCAGCGGTTCTCCACCTTCTCAGATTCCCAGCGCCCCTTGGCAAGCCTCTCACCTCTCTTTACTCGGGCGCTGGCGGGGAAAGAGCAGGGCAGTTCTGCCCTTACAAACAACTGGGAGCGAGCAGAGCAGCTCGAAACGCCTCCTACACCCTGTTCTCTCTGGAGCATCAGCGGGGGCGCCAAGTCCCGGAGACGGCGCTGTGCAGCTGCGCGCGCCTTTACACTAGCCGACTGGCACCCGGGCCGAGAGTTCCGGATTGCGACCGGCGGCTCAGAGCGGTCCTGGAGTAGCGCCAAACGCAGGTGCAGCTTTCCGTGACACGGCTGCCCCGCTCCGGCTCCCGGCCCCACCCGCATGTTCCGCGCGCAGCGCCGGGCCCCTCCCCTGCGACCCCTAAGTGCCCGAGCAGGCAGCGGCCGGAACCCCGCCCGGGCTCGACCCCGTGGGACCTGCCGCCGCCCGGGACAGAGCCGCCCCAATACCCGCGCCCCGCGCCGCTACTCACCGTGTCTAGCCGGTCCCGAGGACGAGTGCACCCCCCCACGAAAGCTTCCGTGATGCAGAGGCAGCCCCGGCGGCGCGGGCGCATCCCGCTGGAGCCGGATGCAGGCACTTGCCTCTGACTGGCTTCAGCCCGGGCGCAGCTTCTCCGCGCTACCCCGCCCCGCCCCGCCGTCTCCGGCAGCGCCTCGGCCCCATGGGGCTTGAAGGGAAGAAGGAGGCCGCTGTTCGCGTAGGGAAACGAGAAGCACGGAGCCCCCGGCGCATCGCTGAGCCCAGGCCGTGTGGGTGCGGAGCGAGGAGCCCCACGGCGCCCGCCCCAACTCCAGGCAGCTTGTGGCCGCCGCTGGCTTGTCCCGGGCGGGAAGGCCAGGCCCGTCGGCGGCGCCGGAACAGACGGCCCAAAGGTCGCCTGGAGCGCAGAAGAGCCCCGGTTCACCCAGCAGCCCCCCGGAGGGCGCCACATCATGGCCCCGGTGAAGGAGAACGGAGGCCCTGTGGCTCAGCCTCCGTGGGAGGGACGGGTCCAGCCAACAGCTGGGTTAAGTCCTCCCTGGTCTTGACGCGGCCGCCAAACCGAGGGCTTTGCCTGGTGGCTCCTGCATGAAACTGCGGCCGCTGCAGGGTGAGCCCGGCGCTGGGGTGACCCGTTCCCTTGCAGCAGCCTCACAGCCCGGTTCTGCTCTCGGGACTGAAGCCTCCTGCTCCTCTGCGGTGCTCCGTGCCCCTACCCTGTGCTGCCCAGGTCCAGCTGGACCATTTACACCTCTGAGTTTACTTTTGGTGCCAAAATCAGCTTTCCAGCCATGCCCTTGCTATTTTGGGTACCTGCACACAGTTTGCAATCCTACTCTGCATACAGTAAGGCACAGCCTCTGGCTACTGAGCGCCTACAGGAGGTTGCATAATCCGGCTGGGCAGGTTGGTGACTCTGTATTCACATAACTGAGCCCAAGTCACAACGTTTTACTGTGGCCAAAATGAGGAAAAGGAAAGCCCTCTTCTGCTTTAGTCTCAGTAGCTCAGTGGTTAGGGCACTTGCCCAGTGGTTAGGACCCAAACTTAATTTTGCACCTTCCCACCCTTGTATCTCTTTGACTGTCTTAATGCTCTAATCACTCAGCTGTTGGGGCTTAAGCATAGCAGAACTGCCCTCCGCTCATCTAATAGCTGCTTAACATGTTTTTTTGCCAAGTATGATTATGAATTTATAGTTACCATTGCAACTGCCTGACCAGAGCACAGCTTACTGCACATACATGGTATCTGTGTGGATGCTTACATATCCACATTGCACATGGGGTGGCATAAGTACCAAAAAGAGCAGTTCTATGGCTTGAAATCAGCCATTTTAGTGTGTAAAATGAAATAAGATTTGCCCATTTGTTTAAGGGATAAATAAAACAACTTTGAAATTCTTTAGAAACGTTCCCCCCAGGAACTTAAAGGTATATACAATCTGGTGGATTTTAAGGTGTGTGAAAAAGGTATTATTATTTCCACTTTACATATGGAAAAACTGTGAGACAGAAGTATTAAGTGATTTATGTGAAGTAACGAAGGCAAAAATATAAACCAGGTTCCAGATTGTGTGCTCTAGCCACAAGCTCATCATTCTTGCTAACGTACATCAGCATATATATTTTAGTGGTTCAATATGTGATGATATTTGTGCCCTGGATGAGAGGTTACATAAGAATATTGGAGCTTTTCCAGGTCTAAAATTATGACAAAAAAAATTACTACACATTTCATAATTTGCACTTTTTCAGTGTATCTGGTTAGTGTTAAACTGCATTGTTAGGTTTCAGAGAGGTTAGACTTCAGAGGGAATAAGTAATTTATGTTTTCTTCTCCCTAGTCTGTTTAAAATCACACTTCATTATTTTTTTCACCCACTTTGTATCTTTCTGTTTAAATTGTACTTCAGAAAACTCTGTATAAATTCTGTGGGTGGATGTTGGGAAATATCATTTTGGTAGTTTCTTGTAAACTACGCAATGAAGTGTTTTAATCAGCCTTTCTCAGCCAGATTAATTTATGCAAACTCAATATTCATCAACTTTGAGGTATAACAAGATGAACTAAATTGAAACAATTTTGCACAGGCTCTAATCTACCTAAGGTATACATAAGGAAAATGAGTAATCGTTCTTTTAGAGCTAATGTGTGCTTTTCTTTTGTGGTCATATGTGGTTGGGAAGCAGGTTGCATTGACTAGAAAGGGATGCTTTCTTTGGTCATAGGCAGAGTGGGAGGAGGTGGAGTGAAGTGGATTATTTTTTAATTGGGGGGAGATAATAGGGGAGTTTATTTTGTTGTAATTTCTTATTTGAATATTTTATTCTGTTTCTATATTTTTGTCTTTCATTGTAAACTACCCTGAGCCTTTTTTGGGGAGGCATATAAATCAGGGATCAGCAACGTTTTTGGACAGAGAATCAAAAACACCCGTAACCTCAACTTGTAAGATGTTGGTATGCCAGGGGCAGGTGGCAGGGGACCCATGAGAGGCCTGATCCTTGTTGTGATAGTGCAGCCCTGGCCCATTCCCCAGCATTTTTCCCCGAGGCATATGTATACCTGCCATCAGCAACAAGTCAGGGCAGGGCTCCGTGGACCCTGGTGCAGCCACTTGTAGTCTCCTGGCTGCCTCCCACAGCTGGCCTGGGCTCTAAGCAGGCCCTTGCCACCCACCATGGAGCCTGAGGTGCTAGCAGCAGCCTGACTCATTGCTGGTGGCAGGTACATTTGCCCCTTGGTGTGAACAGCGGAGAAGGGGCTGGGGTTGCACTGTCACAACCCGGATTGGGCTACATCGCCATCCGCCTCAAGGTGCATGTGCCAAGTAAAATGCCTCCTCATGCCACACTCTGACACATGTGGCAGGGTTTGCCAACTCCCTAATGTAAATCTATAAATAAATAAGTAAAATAAATATTCCCAGTCCTTGCAACATTCCCTCAGATGTTGTGATACCAGAATTCTAATATTTTTTGTTGTTCTCTGCTGCAGTCCTTCTAGTTTGTCCTTGTCCTTTTTCAAATGTGGTGCCTAAAACAGGACACAGTATACCAGGTGAGACCTCAGCAGTGTCAAATAGAGTGAAAGAATAATTGTGCTTGTATGACAATGATGGGTTTGTTTTAATATTTAAGGTTTAAATGTGTTTATGTTATAATAATGTTGTATGCCCTCGTTTCCATAACTAGTTTGTGCACAGGGAAAGGGAGGGATTAACTGTATTTGGAAGAACTTGCAAAAGTGCTGTGTTGATGGGGAGTAGCCCATCAAGAAATCAATCTGTCAATTTGCATGTGAAAACCCAACATATAACCAGGGGCCCTTAAAGAAGTTATATTTTTCACAGGATGAGGCCCCTGAAAGCTCTCTACAGTCATAACATAATAAACGTTCAAGGCTTCAGAAGGCAGACAAGGTTATTTGGGCGAATACGATATATTTTATTAGACCAACTTAAATAGTTGGGGGAAAAAATTATATAGCAAGCTTTTGGGTTTAAAAACCGTTCACCAGGCTGAGGAAGTCTCTGCAGTTGGTGTGCACTCTTCCTGGATGGAATGAATCCAGAGGCTGGGCTGGTATGCATGTAAGACAGGCAGTCAGTGAAGATGTAAATTGAGGAGTCAGTGGGTAAGAGACATGCTGCGGGGCGGGGGGAGAACATTCATCCCTCTTCTCCCCCCTGACCCCATCTAGCCAGGGTCAGAACAGGGTGGCATTGAGCCCCACCCTCCACCCAACAGGTGAGTGTCTGCTGGGTTTCGCCTGTTGGGTTCAATGGCACTCTAACTTGTGGCACTTTTTGTAAAGCACCGTGAGTTAAAGCGTCTCCCTGACAGGCTGTCTGCACTTATCTAAGCACTCGAAGTTTAGCCTCAGCAGGTAGAAAAACTCCCTGGTGTTTCTGGTGCCAAGCAGGGACCTAAAAGTTGAGACCTTCATCAAAAACAGATACCCAGAGGGAGAGAGAGCTAGAATGAAAGAAAGGACTTTAAGAGTTTTCAAGGAAAAAGGACCGGTAGGACTATTTTACCTGCTAGCATTTTGGGCAGAAGGACTCTTATATTGTTGTAGGCCAATAAAGACTGTTTTCTTTCGGCACCTAATCTAGTGCACATCCACAAAGCCTGTCATCTTGTAAAAGGCAATCAGACTGATCAAGTTTGACTTGATCTTGATGAGTGATATTGGCTCTTCCTGGTCATCTTAGTATTTCTTAATATTTCCAGGTCCTTAAAAGTAGATTCCTTGATTACAGGCTCCATAATCTTTCCAGATATCAAGGTTGGACTGACTCATCTGTAATTCCTTAGATCCTCCTTCTTCTTAAACATAGGCACAATATTTGCCTTTTTCCAGTTACCTACAACCTTACTCGACTTCCCCAATTCTCAGGGAGAATGGTGAGTAGCTCTATGATTCCTTGAGTACTCATAGATACATCTTGTCCAGTCTTGCTGATCTGAAAACATTGATTTCTCTAAATTCTTTTTCTGTTCTTTTCCCACCTCAAACTATGCATCTCCCCCCCTTATTTCCACCCTTTGCTATCTAGTAGCTGACCTAGTTCATAAAAATTGAAAAGGCATTAAATACTTTACCCTCCTCTGTGTCATCTTTTGTTAGATTGCCATTTGCACTGAAGAAGGGACCATATCTTTCCTTAATCTTTTTTTGATTCTGATATGCTTAAAGCAGGGGTGCTCAATCCCTGTCCTGTGGGCAAGATCCAGCCCCCGGAGCTCCCCTGGGTCTGAAAATTTCTGTACATGTGAGGAGCCCTGTGGGTGGGGAACCCCAGGTCTGATTCATGTGCACAGGGCCTGAACCTGGTGGGCAGGGGTAGTGCAGGATCCCAGGTTCAACACTGGTAGACGGGGGCAACATGGGGTTTTGGGGCCCAATCCCATTGTGCGGATGTGGCATGAGGCCTTGGAGCCCAAAACTTGCATGTAGAAACAGCGTGGGGCCTCAGAGCCTGGTCACAGCATGTGGGGTCAGTGTGGGGCCTGACCTGGGTGTGCAGGACTTGGCAGAGGCAGGACAGGGCCCAGTCAGCTTGTAGACTTCCAATCTGGGCCCAATCCAGCTCCCAATCTGGCCCAACATAACTCATCTTGCCCAGGGAAGGCAGAAGATTGCGCACTAGTAATTTAGAGATTTTTTTTTTATTGCCTTTTACATCCCTTCCTAATTACATCTCAATTTGCACTTTTGCCTTCCTGATTTTCTCCCTTCTTGTCCATGTTATAAGTATATGTTCCTCCCTAGTAGTATGGCCAGGTTGCCAATTTTTGTACGGTTCTTTTTTGAGTTTCAGTTCATTGAACAGTTCACTATTTAGCCAGGCTGATCTCTTGCTGGACTTCCTGTTCTTTTTTTACATCAGGATAGGCTGCTCTTGTGCCTTTAATATGGCTGTAGAGGGACCCAGACCAAACGGCCATGCTGGGGTGGAGCCCAGGTGCCACACTCTCAATGGGTGTTTTATTCTCCTATTTTTGTATCTTTCCTACCACAACTTGATGCAACTAAAAAGAATATCGGGAGGAGGTATGTGATGTTATAGGGCTTGTTGAGACTTGTGTGGGTCATGATATCCAAGAGTCATCTGTGGAGCACCACCTCCCCTACACCCCACCATTTTCCACCTGGGTAGTCTGTTGGTGACGGGAGTAGGGGCCTGGCTTCATGTGCTACGTAGAAAGGTCTGTGAAGAAAGAAAATTAAGCGGCCTGGGGACAGTGTAAGTTGGCTGAGCCCAGGGGTCTTACTAAAGGTCTGCAGTTAATGTCATCCAGGCCATGTAAGAAAATGACCAGACCAATATAACTTAAATAATAGTGTCTGTGTCTGCTTCAGGCCTCACCTTAGCTCAGCAGCCTGCAGCTGCCTTTCTTCAGGCAGTCAGGGCTCTTCAGGGTTCATCCCCTGCTAGGAACCCAACCCAAGTAGACTGGCCTATCTCAGGCCAAGCTCTTCAGGTAGCCTGGGGCCACAGGTATTATGAACCTACATGGGGCCCCTAAAGGTACCTGACCTCCAGCAGCTGTGTGGCAGTCCGGGTTCTATGGGTAGAGCTGATGTCAAGCTGGTCTTTAATCATAGGACCTTGGCTCTGGTGAAGGGATGTGATGTGGACCAATGCCTAAGCCAATGGTCCCTCCCTTCTGAGGCTTGTGCTGCCTTATGGAGGAAATTCTGGGTTGTCCTGGGTCAACCCAGACCCCTACCTGCCTCCACGTGTCTTGCGCTGTTGCCATGTGCTAAGACCCCCGGAGGGGCTAATCCATTCCTGCAACTGAGGTTTCCAGGCCCTAGGCAGTGCCAATGGTACTGGCTGCTTGCCCTCTTCTTTGGCAAGCAGAAAGCTCCCCCCAACAGGTAAGAGCATAAAAGGTGTAAAAGGTGCCACCCATTTACTAGCCAAGCATCCAATCTCTATGGTAGATTATTTTCATTCATGTTCTAATAACTTACAGCTGGCATATGCAATTGGATGCTTGATTTCTTCCTTTTCCTGTGTTAATATGGCCCCTGGGGCCACCCCCAGTGCATTCATCTGCAAAATAAAGTTTTGATCAAAGTCCGGAGTGTACAAGACCGGTTCAAATGCTGTTTTATTTGTTCAAATGCTTCCTGGGCCTGCTGGGTTCCATTTGATCTTGCAAGTCACATTGGACTTAGTGGTGCCCCTAAAGGATTTAACTATCTTTGAAAAATGTGGGATGAATTTGCAGGACCCATGAAGGACCTGACCTGCTTTTTTTGTTCTAGGCTGTTTGTAATCATTTAAATCCTGTATTTTGTCAGCTAGCAGCTGACTTGCCCTACTTGGAAGCCAAAATACTGGGTCTCTTTCTGGGCGAGCATACATTTGCCTGGATTAGCCATCAATCTGGCTCCCCACAGTTCTTGGAGGGCCTTCTGTAAGGCCTCCAAGTGTTGGTCTTAGCACTCTGAAAATATAATTACACTGTCTACATATGCAGAAGCATAGGTCTGAGGGGAAGCCAATAGACAATTCCTTGGGTGCTCGAAGATGTCAGCCACACCATGCAGTCCAAACTGCCTGTGGCAGAATTTGAATAGTCCCCATGGAGTGCCAAAGGCTGTTTTTTTCTCAGTCCTCCATGGCCATGGAGATCTGCCAATACCCTTTTGTCGTGTCAAAAGTGGATATGAACCTAGCTTGTCCAATCCATTCAAGCATGTCTTCTATACAGGGCATTGGGAAAGCATCAAGCTTAGCCACTGCATTGACCTTTCTAAAATCTCTATATGGGTTCAGGGACCTTTTTTTTTTTTTTAGAGATGATCACTAGGGGCTTCACCACTGGCTGACTGACTCTCTGATAATCCCCTTGTGTAGCATCTTTCGTAATTCCTGTTTAATAGGCCCATGCAAATGTTGAGTAACTGCTGCCAGGTCTCTCTGACCACACAACCTGGAGGAGTTGTAGCTTTATGCACCACCCTCTTTGCATGTCTGGTTTCCATGCAAAATATGTTGTGGTACTCTCATAGTAACCCCTGTGATTGCCACTGTTTTGTGGCATCGAACTGCTTACTGAGCATAGGCCTTTCTGTAAGGTCAGGCTCCTCCGGTGGTGGTCCTAACTCCAGGCTATCTGGAAAAGGGGTTGTTAGGAAGCACTCCTGATCCTGCCACTCATTTAGTATATTGATATGAAATATTTGTTGGGGTGGTCTGTGCCTTGGCTGGATAACTTCGTAATCTACAGGCCCAATTTGGCATGACATCTCAAAGGGGCCCTGCTACCTAGATAGGAGCCAACTATTCTGGTCAGGCAGTAATACCAGGACCTTGTTCCCTGCTTTAAATGTGTGCTCTCAAGCCCTGACATTATAGTAGGTCTTTTGCCAAGGCTGGGCTCTTCAGAGGTTTTCCTCTGGTATTTGTTGAGTGCTGCATAACCTTTGCCGAAAGTCTGCTAGGTGCCTAGGGGTTTGGGCTGTAGGACTTGCTGTTGTTCCCAACCTGCCTTTATGATATCCAGAAGGCCTCTGGGCTCATACCCATACACTAGTTCAAAAGGTGAACATCCAGTAGAGGCCTGAGGTGCCTCTTGTATGGCAAACATTAGTGACATTAGCATTTGGTCCCATTGTTTTGGATCCTCCTGAATTCATTTCTTAAGCATGGCCTTCATAGTTCAGTTGAACTGCTCGACCGGGCCATCGGTTTGGGGGTGGTATGTGGAGGTGCACAGGTGTTTTATCCATAAGGTTTGAACACTCTGCGTATCACTCCAGCCATATAATTTGTTCCTTGGTCAGTTATACTTTCTTTACGGATGTCCACCCTGGCTACTCATTTAAGCAGTTTGTCTGCTATCCTGGGGACCATTGCAGACCTGGGCTATCCTGAGATGGCCACAGGGAACCATGTCACACAGTCCATGA